TTTTATCCTTTAAAGTTTTGAATATGTCACTCCATTCTCTCCTAGCTTGTAAGGTTTCTGTAGAGAAATCCGCTGAAAGTCTGATAGGGGCTCCTTTATAGGTTATTCTCCTCTTTTTTCTTACTTTCCTGAGTATTCTTTCTTTATCTTTCCTTCTTGCCAATTGTACTACTATGCGCCTTGCGGTAGGTTTTTTTACATTGAGAAATCTAGGAGATCTGAAAGCTTCCTCTACACACATTTCTCCCTCAATCCCTAGATTTGGGAAGTTCTCTTCAATAATTTCATTAAGCACACTTTCTGCTCCATTTTCCTTTTCCACGTTCTCGGGAATTCCTATGATCCTTAAGTTCTTACTCCTCATTGAATCAACTATCTCTCGGAGATTTTCCTCATTGTTTTTAATTCTTAGTTCTCTTTCTTCCTCTGTCTGGAGCCATTCAGCCTGTCTATCCTCAATTATGTTAATTTGCTCTTCTATGGTTTCTACACGGGCATTCAGGGAATCCGTATTCTGTTGTATCTGGTTCATTGTGTTTTTCTTCTCTAGTAATTCTGTTTGATTCTTCTTTATGATTTCAATCTGTTTGTGAAGTAACTCCAGAACTTATTGGCTTGTTTGTCTATCTCTCTACCTCATTGAATTTTTTGATTATAGCTGCTCTGAACTCATTATCACTTAGTTTACCTATTTCCAAGTCCTCAGGACTTAATTCTATGTTTTTATTGTTTTCGGTCTGGTCTGGAGCTTTTATAGATTGCTGGATGATAGAGGAGCGGTTTTTGCGCATGATGGTAGAATTTGGTTGCAGTTACAGCCTGTCGCCACTAGATGGGGGTCGAGAGCCGTGTGTTCTGAGCTCTCCACCTTCGGGCATGATGGCAGCACCCAGTGCGCTTTGCCGGGAGGGAGGGGCTTCTATTTCTGAGCGCCCATCTGGATTCAGATCAGTTCTGTTCTCTGGTCTCCCGAGGCCCTGGGTTTATGGGGTCCCCATGCATGGAAGCTTTCCCCCGTCAGTGGGTTTCCACTGAACCAGCGGCAGGAGTGCTGGATGATCCCTCGGTGGCGTGGCCCCTCTCCCGCTCCTTCCTGGACCCGCGCAGCAGTGATCACAGACTCTAGGGGAGGGAGCGATGTTCTCTCCTACCGGTTCCAGCGCCTCCGAGGCCGTCAGCAAGTTTTCTGATTTCAGCCTTCTTGGTATTGTAGGTCTCTAACTTGTTGGCATTAGATTTATTCTATGGAATTCAGTTTTTCCAATCCTTTATTGTATTTTGGAGGGGAGAGAATCCCGGGTCAGCTCACCCCGCCATTTTGCTCTGCCTCGCCATAAAGTATCTTAAGAGAAATATGACAGACTTGGAAATATGTTTGTAACATACACAGCAGGCAAGAGGTTATTTTGCTGATAGAAAAAGCTCTTAAAATGGATTGGGAAAAAGCCTAAATGTCACAGTAACAAAATGGGCAGAGAATGAGAACAGATGAGTCACAAAGGAAGGAATACAAAGTGCCAGTAGATATGTGAATAGATATTCAGCCTCACTTGTAATCAGAGAAATGCCAGAAAAAGAAAGAAAGAAAAAATATCCAAAGTTGTCAAAGGTATTGGCAACTCCCAGATATTTTTTGGTGGAACTTTAAATCTGTACAGACCCTTTAAGAGATAATTTGTTGTAGGTATTAAAATTGTAACTGTATACCCTCCAATCTAGCAATTCCACCTTAGAGAATTTCCTCCCAGAAAAATGTGGATATATGTGCAAAGATGTACATGTGAAGGTGCCTGTTATAATAGTGAAAAATAACCAACCTAAAAGTTTAGCAGTAGTTATCAAATAAATTATTCAGTATCCATATAGGGGAATTCTATGGCAGATGTCTTTCCCCCCGATTTTTTTATTGTTGTAAAATACATCTTACATTTACCATTTTAACCATTTTCCAAGTGTATAGTTCAGTGACATAAAGTACATTCATATTGTTGTGCAATCATCACCACCATCCATCTCCAGAACTCTTTTCATCCTATAAAACTGAATCTTTATACCCATTAAACAGTGATTCCCCCATCTTTCCGCCCTTCCTAGTCCCTGGCAACCACTGTTCTACTTTCTATTTGTATAAATTAGACTGTTCTACATAGCTTATTTAAGTAGAATCATGTAACATTTGTCTTTGGTGACAGGCTTATTTCATTTAGCGTAATATCCTCAAGGTTTGTCCATGTTGTTGCTTGTGTCAGAATTTCATTCCTTTTTAAGGCTGAAATATATTGGTAGGCAGTGTTTAAAAATTTAGTTTTTGAATGAGTAGTACATCCACTTAGTTTAAATTCAAGAGGTAGGTTAGGAGGAAGGAAGATAGGAAGTGATTGCTAATGGGTATGGAATTTCTCTTAGGGGTGATGAAAGTGTTCTGGAATTAGTAGTGATTGATATATAACTTTTAATATGCTCAGAACCATTGAATCGTACACTTTAAACAGGTGATCTTTATGGCATGGGAATTATATCTCAATAAAGCTGTTATTAAAAAACATTCCAATGTCAGTTATACCTCGGTTAAAAAAAATTTCAAGAAGAATAGAATAAATATATAATGTCTTCTTACAAGTTGCTTTTCAACCATTCCAGTTTTTTCTTTTTTTTTTTTACAAAAATAACCATTATTTCTTGTTTAACTTTCCAAAAATATTTTTATTTCTTATACATATTTTACTTTTTCTTTATAGTAAATAGTAAGTATTTATTGTTCTGTTCCTTTTAACAAAAATGGTAGCAAATTGAACACAGTATTCTGTACCCAAGCGGGCATCTCTGAAGTCTTTTTGTCTTATTTTTAGGTAAAAATGTCTTTTTTTTTCTATTACGAAAGGGTTATTGAATTACTGCAGGAGATTTCGACAGTATAAAAAATATGAAGAAAAATATAAAAGCAACCCATACCCAGAGATAGCCTTTGGTAATTGTTAAATCCTTTTAGACTTTGCATATATATACTTTTTCTTTTGGTGAAGAAGATTCACCCTGAGCTAACATCGATTGCCAATCCTCCTGTTTTTTTGCTCGAGGAAGATTAGCCCTGAGCTAACATCTGTGCCAGTCTTCCTCTGTTTTTTGTATGTGGGATGCTGCCACAGCATGGCTGATGAGTGGAGCATATCTGTGCCTGGGATCCGAACCTGTTATCCCCGGCTGTCAAAGCAGAACCCACAGAACTTGAACCACTTGGCCATGGGGCTGGCCCCTATATACTTTTTTTTTTGGCGAGGGAAGTTGTCATTGAGCTAACATCTGTGTCAGTCTTCCTGTTTTTTGTATATGGGACACTGCCACATCATGGCTTGATGAGTGCTGTGTAGGTCCGCACCTGGAATCCGAACCTGTGAACCCTGGGCCACCAAAGTGGAGCGCGCAAACTTAACCACTAACCCACTGGGCTGGTCTCATGAATATAGTCTTTTAAAAATCAGAATTTAGGTCATCCTGTACTGCTATTATAACTCTGGTGTTTTTTACATTTAAAATAATACATTGTGACCATGGTTTTCGTCAGTAAATATTAATGTACGTTGTTATATTTTATTGAGGCATAGTAATAAATTGTGTGGACATTTCTCAGTTACTTAACTCATCACCTGTTAATATCCATTTAGGTTGTTTCTAATTTTGTTACTAAGCAATAATGAGTACCTTTGTATATAGATCTTTGTACACTTGCCAAATCATTTCTTTGAGATATTTACTATGTGTTATTTTCCATTCTGCCAAAATGTTTAAACAATGTATCTTTTAAAATATACATCACAAAGGTTTCCATGATATTATTAACTTTGTGAAAAGATGGTGCAGATGTTTGTATCCTCATTTTAAATATGAGGAATCTGAAACCCAGAAAGATGGCAGTGTCCCCCAAATTACATAGCTAGTTAGTGTGAGAGTTGGAACTAAAGCTCTCATCTTCTGATTGTGAGTTGGTGTTCTTTCCACTGTGGCACACTGCCAGGCCTTGAATACCTTGATTACAAAGAGTGATCTTTTATTATTGCTTCTTCGTTTCTAAAAATATGATTCTTGATGTAATATCCTTTTAGATTCTTTGAATAATGTACTGGAATGTATCCATTCAGATTAAAGGTTCATATACTTTCAATAGGGGTACAGGCTAAAGATATATCCTCTGACACATTTTAGTAGTTTATCTGCATTAACATCTTCATTTAATTACTCGCCTATATTTTTATCTTCCCCTGTATAAAAAACTCACATAGTCTCAGTTTTTTTTTTTAAAGCTTCAAGTTATGTTATTACCTTTGGGTAGTACTAGTTTCATTGAGCTAGGAGAATTGCTTTGATTTGAATGACAGCTCCATCACTTACTGTATGATCTTGGGCAAATTCCTTAAATCTCTGTAAGCCTAGTGTCATCATCAATAAAATTGAAATAATAGTACATGTGTCATAGTGAGGATTAAATGAATTAACACATAAAAGGTGCTTCGCACGATCTGGCTGGTAGAAACTACTTGTTAAATGATAGTATTTATTATTTAATGTGTGAATTTAATTGTAAAATACTTAAGTCATTTGTGTTTTGATATCCTTTGTGATATCCTCTGGTGAGATTTTTTTGTTTGTGTTCATATTCCTGTAGATTTCCCATCTTTCTTTTCCCTTCACCTTCAGTTCTGTGTTGTACCTTCTATTAATTTTGAACAGAGTCTTTATTTTGTCATGGCTTATGCAAAGTGAGGAGCTGCCATACTTATCTTGTTTCCTGTTGGGAATAAACACAAGTTAAATTACTGACTTTTTACAGATTATCTCAATCATTTTTTAAGACAATGTGAAAAAGAATGATGTGAATCCTGATATGCTAAATGCAGGGTTCTTGAGAGTCCTGGTAGCTACTTTCTGACTCCCCTCAATCTGCTTGTTTTTGCTACTGGAGGAGAAAAGCTGATTTGGAGTTTTCTTTTTTGTCTTTGTTCTAGCACATGCAGATGACAATCCAGGCTCTCCAGGATGAATTGCGAATCCAGAGGGACCTGAACCAGCTGTTTCAGCAAGATAGTAGCAGTAGGGCTGGTGAACCTTGTGTGGCAGAGCTGACGGAGGAGAACTTTCAGAGGCTGCATGCTGAGCATGAGCGCCAGGCCAAAGAGCTATTCCTTCTTCGAAAGACTCTGGAGGAAATGGAGCTACGTATTGAGACCCAGAAGCAAACCCTAAATGCTCGGGATGAATCCATCAAGAAGCTTCTGGAGATGTTGCAGAGCAAAGGACTTTCTGCTAAGGCTACCGAGGAAGACCATGAGAGAACAAGACGACTGGCAGAGGCGGAGATGCACGTCCACCACCTGGAAAGCCTTTTGGAGCAGAAGGAAAAAGAGAACAACATGTTGAGAGAGGTCAGTGACCACTTTTTCAGTTGTTATGACTTAGTGATTGTCGTTCTTTTCCCTGCTTAATCAGCATCTTGGCCTAGACAAATTTATATGCTCTACTGAACTAGTGGAAGGGAATTTCTTCTTTGATATTTGAGTGCTTCACTGATTTCTATTCTGATTGGCTCTCTTGTGTGAGATGATATTGACTAGTATATATACTGGCTTGATAACTTTCTTGGTCTTTTTTTTTTTCCCCTCCTGGTTTCTGCAGACTCATTTTCTTGCTAAAGGGGCACAAAATTTCCTTGGTTACTCATCTCTTGATTTCTTCTTACTGACACATGTAACAAAACCGAATCAAAGTAGCTAACTATTGCTCAATTTTTAAAATATTAGTAAGAGAAAGTAAGCAGTTACCTCAGTTGAGGTGTGCTTGTAAAGTTCTTGGCAGCAATAATGGATGTTTTCCCTGTGGTTTCCATGGAAACTGTTGCCTTGCTGTAAAAGGTATGTGATAAAAATCATTTGCTCTCATGGAGGCACAATGAGAAAGAATGATATAGAGACGCGCTGTCACTTATTTTTTAGAGAGGAAACTCAGACTTTAGCTGACAACTGTGACTATTGGTAATTTTTCACTTTTCTAAGTAATGCTTCATTTTAAGAAAACATAAATGAAGACTTCATCTTACATTGAATTAAAAAAATAAACAGCTGTAATTCTTTATATGTGGTCAGAGACTTCAGACAACTTTCACATTTGGATAGGGAAAAAAACAATCTCAGAACTGTGTTGGTGCCAGTCTGAGTAATTCCTTTTTAAATGAAATGTGAAGAAGGAGGTTAAACAAATGGAATGTTCCCAAAGCAGCAAAACAGCAACTTAAGAATACTTAAATTCGTAATTTGTTCCATAATTTCTCCTCTTGTAAAAAATCTGAACTATTTATTTACAGTGAGGACATTTTTATTTTTGAAGAGAAATCCAGTGTTTTTTAAAAACATGATTTTATTACACAGTAAATCCATTGTAGTTTATTTTAGTAAAATTAGAAAATAGATTAGCAAAAACTTAAAATCCAAGGTATCATTGTCTAGTGAAGATTGTTAATTTTTGTTATATATGTGTTTCCAGTGATTTTTATTATGTGTACATTCTTTCATTATTTCTATATTTGTTTCCCTTAAAAAGATATAATACTGTGTTGTCTAATATAACTTTCTGTGTTGAGGAAATATTCTGTGTTTGCTCTGTCCAATATGGTAGCCACTATCCATTAGCCACATGTGACTTTTGAGCAATTGAAATGTGCCTAGTGACTGAGGAACTGAATTTTAAATTTCATTTAAATATAACTAATTTAAAATTAAATTTAATTAAATTAACTAAATATCTACATGCAGCTAGTGGCTACTGTATTAGATAGTACAACTATGAATAATATAATGTTACCTACTTTTCTTAATAATTGTCTTGGCCATTAGACAAAGATAAATTTCTTTGTCAGTATATGTAGAGTTTTGTAATTTCAAATGAATTTATAATGTTCCATTGCATTTATTTGAATATCTCTTACTGTTGAAAATTTAGACTAGTATTTTTCAGTATTATAAAACTGTCCTGCATTGAATATCCTTAATCGTATATTTCTGTATATTAATTTTTTTCTTTAGGATACAATCCTAGAAATGAATTTGCTCAGTTAGAGGGTGTGTACATTTTAGAAACTTAGAATAATTTTGTCTTCCAGAGTGATTGGACCAGTTTATCCTGCCAGTAGCATATATTGTATTCTTATGAATAATCTGCAGCTAAGGACGTGTTATGCTCTTCAAATTACCAGGCTGTACTGTTTTAGGGAATTTTCTATAAACTCTCTTATAGGCACATTTGGATTTCCTTCAGTTTACTTTAAAGACTTTATATTTTAATGAGATAACCCAGAGCCTAGCCATAGAACATTGTAAGAGAACCTGTTGTAATCTCAAACAGCATGCCACATGGAAACTATACCAGCAGCATGATGAGCTTTCATTCTTATGTTTTTACTGATTCTGTTCTGAATATTTCAACCTGTGCCCATTTATTTTTGAGTTTTGGAGTTAATAAATGGTGAATAGTTAAGGATTTTGAAAAGTCACAGTGTTATTCTGGCAGAGAACAGAAATATGGTGAGTTTGAAAAAATGGTAGAAAAAAATACGAATTTAAGAGTGATTTTCAAATAACAAGCTCTACGAATATCAAGTCCCATTTAGGTATATAAAGAGGAAAGAAATATAGGCTTTGTCAATATGCCAACGTACACTTCCAGTTGCCATTAGTAAGATAGCATCATCTTCTAGAAAACACAGTCATACGAATTAAAATTATTTAAAAGAAAGTGGCTTAAGAAAAAAAAAAAAAAGAGGCTGGTCCTGTGGCCGAGTAGTTAAGTTCGTGCACTCCGCTTCGGCGGCCCAGGGTTTTGCCGGTTCGGATCCTGGGCACAGACATGGCACTGCTGGTCAGGCCATGCTGAGGCGGCATCCCACATGCCACAGCTAGAAGGACCCACAACTAAAAATACAGCTGTGTACTGGGGGGCTTTGGGGAGAAAAAGGAAAAATAAAATCTTTAAAAAAAGAAAAGCAATGGGAATGATTGCTTCAGTAGCATATGTTTGGATTGCTTGTTTTCCTTTCTGTTTCTTCTTCTTACCTTCAAGAGTTAGCTCAAATTTCAGTTCTTCTGTGAAGACTTCCTTGCGCAGTTCTATACGTATATGTAGGTGAACCAGTAATATTATAGTACACCAACATGGCTGTTTTCTTCATCGTTCACTTAATTTTTTGCATCGAGGATATATGCTTTTTTTTTTTAATTGAGGTTATGATAGTTTACAACATTGTAAAATTTCAGTTGTACGTTATTATTTGTCAGTCATCTTATAGGTGTGCCCCTTCATCCTTTGTGCTCACCCCATACCCCTTCCCCCTGGTAACCACTAATCTGTTCTCTTTGTCCATGTGTTTATTTTCCACATAGGAGTGTAATCATACAGAGTTTGTCTTTCTCTATCTGGCTTATTTCACTTAACATAGTACCCTCGAGGTCCATCTGTGTTGTTGTAAATGGGACGATTTTGTAATTTTTTATGGCTGAGTAGTATTTCATTGTATATGTACACCACATCTTCTTTATCCAGTCATCAGTGGTGGGCACTTGGGTTGCTTCCACATCCTGGCTATTGTTAATAATGCTGCAGTGAACACAGGGGTGCATAAATTTCTTTGAATTGCTGATTTCAAGTTCTTTGGATAGATACCCAGTAGTGGGATAACTGGGTCATAGGGTATTTCTATTTTTAATTTTTTTTTTTTTAAAGATTTTCTTTTTCCTTTTTCTCCCCAAAGCCCCCCAGTACACAGTTGTATATTCTTCGTTGTGGGTCCTTCCAGTTGTGGCATGCGGGACGCTGCCTCAGCGTGGCCTGATGAGCAGTGCCATGTCCGCGCCCAGGATCCGAACCAACGAAACACTGGGCCGCCTGCAGCGGAGCGCGCGAACTCAACCACTCGGCCACCGGGCCAGCCCCCTCTATTTTTAATTTTTTGAGGAGTCTCCATACTGTTTTCCATAGTGGCTGCACTAGTTTGCACTCCCACCAGCAGTGTATGAGGGTTCCCTTTTCTCCACATCCTCTCCCACATTTGTTACTTTTTTTCTTGGCAATTATAGCCATTCTAATGGGTGTAAGGTGATATCTTAGTGTAGTTTTGATATGCATTTCCCTGATGATCAGTGATGATGAGCATGTTTTCATGTGCCTCTTGGCCAAGGGATATATGCTTTTTTATCTTTATATTGGCAGTATCTAACAAATATATAGTGGCTACTCAAGAATTGTTAGTTGAATAAGTTGAAATGTAGGTAAAGAAATTTAAACCTGTAGCTTACAGAAAGAAGGATAGCCTTTCCAGTTCTTTTTTTTCCAATGTGACCACTGGATACTAAAACCTGATAAGATTAGAAAACAAACTGAACCCCCAAACCAGTTTTGCTTATAAGTTTAGATAGAGAAATTATAAATAAAATATTAGCAGATAGAATCAGCATTATGATAAAAGGATAATACTCTGACCAAAAGGAGTTTATTCCATGAATACCAGAATGGCTCAATATATCATACACAATTATAATTTTTAATAGATAAAAGAAAAAGAGAACCTTGTGGTATTTGATAGCTGTCTCAAAGACATTAGATAAAATGTTACAGACATTTCGATTGAAAACTAACCCAAGTGAACTAAAAATAAGAATTGAATGATACTTTCATAGCATGATTTAGTTAAATAATAACACAATGTATATTATAAACATATTTCAAACTAATAGCCAGCATCATGCTTACTGTGACATACTAGACACACCCATTGAAGTTATGAAGAGGTCAAAGATGGTTGTGGTCATCAGTGTTTAGCATTGTTCTGGAAGAGTTAGGCAGTGCAATTAGGTGAGAAAATGGAGCAAATAATACCAGTAAAGGTAGTAGAAAGGACAGGGCTAATTTTTCTTTACAGTGTAGATGGGAACATTAATATAAAGATGTCACTTTCCCCAAATCTATAAATTTAGTGTAATCCCAATGGGAATATTCTTGAAGCATGCCCAAGTAATGTTGGAGTTTATTTGCAAGAACAGTGCAGAAGCGCTTGCTGAGGCAGGTCATGGTATGTGTGCTTTAAACCCAGTGATATTAAAATGCGTGCTTCTGGCCCAACAACATAGAGCTACATCAGTGGAACAGAATAGAATCCAGAAATAATAGAGTTTTAAGTATATGATGAATGTTTTGGAATAATGGCCATCCATTTGGAAAACACTTATGTAGTTACATCAAATTAAATTCCAGTTGAAGTAAAGAACTACTTTTTAAAAGATAAAAACACTAGAAGAAAAGGTAAGTAAAAAGCTTTTAATATAATCTTGAGATAGAAGAGATCTTTCATTATCATAGCAAGAACCTTAAAGAATTAAAT